ACTTCATTCGTTATCATACAGTGTCATGGTGTAAAAGTAGGCTCTGGGTTTCAAAAAAAACAGCACGAAACACATTTGAAACATTAACTTTTGAGTAAATCACCCTGACCTTAGACACCGAAGCAAATCTTTTTGCGTATAGGGAAAATCAAACATTTCAAAAAGCCCTCGAAAAGTTATCAGGAACACTGCCCCAGTTCAATAATATAAATTTCAGCAAAGCTTTGTAAAATCGCCAGGCCAATCGAAATTTCGCGCTCCAACCTCAAAGGACCGCTGAGGCTGATTTGCGTCGAAAGCGGTGCGTTGTGGTCGCGTTGCGTCATGACATCTGACGGCACGACGGCTTCGCGGTGCTCGCGTGGACGGACGGCGTTGATCTGTGGATGTCGTCGACCTACGAATCGCTTCTACCATTAACATTCGACTATTCCGTTCCACCACCGAGCAACAAGGAATGTTTGTATGAGGTATTCCGCTAGATTTCGCGAATAGCGCACACGATTTGGATTTTTGCCAGCGTTCGTAATTCGGACGATGACGTTCGCGTATAACGGCAAGTATAGTGCGATTAATTATTTTGAATGCATGATGAATACATTGTAAACTGGGAACATTCCGGATGAGATGATCGTCTACAGATATAGACGCTTGAGCGGCATGTGTCAAATCGTCAATACGTCCATCATCGATCAGAATTCAGAATTTGAAGACGTTGCCTCTATTTTTTCTTTTATATCGACAGACCATCACAATGAAACGCAGATTTATTTAATAAAGTTTATCGAACAATGATCGTTTCTTGAATCATAGTAGAGGAAACCTATGACGTATATTTATATTATTAAATGTAGTTTTTATTTGTGAAGTTCGTACGTTCATTGTTAGTCACTCTGCGGATTTTACTTCAGAATTCCCATTGTAATGGTGACGCCGTTTTGCACAGTCCCGTGCCGTCACAACCACCGGGTTTTCAGCGAAAAACTGTGTACAAAAATGGAACCATAGAATTAACTATTATTGAGTAAGGACTTTGGCTTATCCACGTACTGCATGTTCTTCGTTTCATTCTCGCTTGATAATATATACTTTCAATTGTTCATTTGTTACCAAAGAAAGCCAGCTATTTGTTTGGACGATCCTTTCTGTGTTTTTTCATTTCTTGACTGCTATACTTCCAGCGATGAGCCGACATCATCATCGTCATCGGTACCGTACGACGGTCACGACGGTGCTGATCAACCCGATGAAATTGTTAAAAACCTATCTGGAGTCGGTATGTTTGTTCTAGAACGATTCTTTCTCAAATATAAAAACTTGTTCATGTTGACCTCTCGGAACTGCTATAACAGGGTAGAGACAGTGGATGATTGATGAGCTTGTCTGATCATTTAGATTATGGATTGCAAAACGGGTACGCTACCCCTTTCTCTCGCTAAGCAAGCCACTCACGGGATGTCATATCAATTATAGAATTTCGCTTCCATGCTTGAAAAACTGTGCCTTTAATTTGGACTCCATGTTTTGTTATCACCCATGAACAGCTACACTCCTCGGAATGTTTGGAATTGTCAACTTCTAAGACAACAGTTACAGTAGCACACCGTAGACTTTTGGGTGGGCCATACACGTAGTGTAACAAATCTAATTTTGGGGCCCCTCAACAGTGCGGCACAAAAGGTAATGAGACTGAGTACAACGCGGTATGGTATAGGCTCGAGGTATGGTATCAAGTCATCAGCTGTTCCGTGGAAGAACACATGTAATCTACTTGAAACTTTGTCGTTTTGAACATATCTCCTGCTCTCCTTCTACTTCGTTGGCTCTTCACTATTACTGTTACCCACCTCTGTATACGGTTATCGGTCTGGCGACTTCTCTTAACAACGGATGAAGACAAACTCCGGGAGACAGCAGCTAGTTCACTGTTTGGATTTGCGTCCATCCCCTTCGATGGCTTCAATCTTCTCTTAGTTAGGTTAAAATGCGATTTATCGTTCATAAAATCTCTACTGAAGCTTTGGCTATATGGAGGACTTTTCACCAGTTGAGCTATTTTAGGTGCCATGGAATAACAGTAATATTCACTAACTCGAGAGTTTGTTGTTCTTTTTTAGTTCTTTTGACATTTCTGCAACGTGGTAGTCTCGTTACCTTCAAACAAATATGTGTGTAATGTTTTCCTATGGTTAGTAGGTAATAATTATGAGTTTTGGGGCTTTCCCCATTCCACTGTCGTCCTTTCATAATTCTCAGGACAAATGGGAGTATGTTTTTCTTCGACCTTTTGTTATCCTTGCGGTACGTATGGGCTTGACATCATGTGGGTCGCTGCATATTTCCAGTTGTTGAGGGTTTAGAATTTGAAGCTATTGCGGCGCTAGAGATTGTAATTTCCGCTCGGTACGCTGAAAGGCGTAGACGAGGCTCCCAAATCATCACATTACTGCACATCTCAAGTCATCTTACTAATCTGTGGGTCGTGTAAATCACATTGACAATATTTATGTAGAAAAGAACAAGTACCTCTATCATGCTTACTGCATTGTAAATCCCGCCGTTGAACGGTTTGTTACTGTTATTCATGATGCTGTGGAGTGGGGCTCCGTTATTAATCATGGAAAAAGCTTACGATTTGAAAAGCGAGAAATGACACGGACAATGACAGAGACACGGTTTTCTCATCCCGGCCCGATGCCTGCGTACCGATTATTGACCAAACTTTTTGTCGACCGCTTTTTTAGTATCCTTTTTGACGACTGCTCATCATGTCTAGTTCGGTCACGTTTTACTCCTTACTATATGATCCGTATTAAAGAATGAGAGAAAACATTTCGCAACCTCTTGCCCCTCTCTTCGCAATATTCCTCAGATATCCACTACAACTTGCTGTTAACGTTCTTCTTAGGTTGCTCTAACCATCAAGGTTTAAAAGCCTTGCCCTATGTTGTTTTCAATTATCACTAATTGCCGCACCTGACATTAGCAGCCTCCATTTCATTAGAAACGTCGGCTTAGGAAAGTGTTCATGAATTTTGTAATTGCCATTTTTTGTACACAGAGATCGTCAACATTTCTTGAAACTTTAATGGTAACCGATTGACGTCACAGAGTTGAGTGGCCCATTTCCTATTCCCATTATGCTTCAGGCGAATTGCTGTCAAAGCTTCGAGGAGAAAAGGCAGTCGACAAGAAACGTATTATATTGGATAGTTACGGGTTGGACATAAATAGACCAAGGCGACCATTGCCAGAATGCCGAATTGGTGAGTTCTCCGTGAACGCATACATTTTTCTATGCGTCAACTCTAACTAGTACATTTGACAAAGTTGAACTTACTACTTGTCTATGATTTAGTGTATGAGCTTCACTGATGGATCAGATGAATGAATTTTTACCATTTCAGCCCAAGTCGTCCAGCGAGTAGCTTTCGGCGATCATCAGGAAGCATGCGACTTGCCTCCTCCTCCACCTCATCCCACGGATGTTGTATCTGTAAGCCTTACTTTCCTTTTTTTACATGAAATTCGATTAACTTGAATGGGATAGTGGAACCTACAATGGACTGCTTTAACGTCGACTTCTTAGTAGCAAAGAACTAGTATTTCTCTCTAGACAAAGTCAAAGTGTTAAAACTTGTCAATAGTTTTGTAGCCAACCCAAAAAGGTGTCGTGAAGTGTCGATACTAATAGATCTTCATGAATGTGAAATACGTGGAAATTGAGATGTGATTTTTCTTCATAAAATCAGCTGCCCTAGGTTCGCAAGCTGATGCGATCAAAGATGATCCGCTGTAAGCGATGCAAGAATAGATTTATCGAGAGGAATATCTACGAACGGCATTTAAGAGATAAGCACCCTGAAGACTATACAGTATATATCGAGGAGCAGGTGGGAGAAAGATTTGCATTGACTAGACCTTCGCCTGAGGTACAGGTTGGCAATCCTCTGATATAATGCATAAGTAGGAGGCGGAAATGGAGCAACAACGGCAGGAAGAGATTGAGGCAAATCGTATTGAAGAACTACAAACCGGTGGATTTATTCCGCCAGAATCAGAGATCGAGGCCTCATCATTCGAAGTGGATGTTGAAGGGTGGGTCTGTTTTTTGTCAGGTCTTCTGGAATAGAAGTTCCATAGTTACTCGTGAAAACCTCATCTGGATAGCTTCTGTGATCTCTTTAAATGTGCTAATTTTTAGGATTCCCTTACCTGGCGAGAACAACGGCGGCGTTGCTCCTCGTTTCGACCAATATGGAAGGCTGAAACAGCTCAAAAGGCCCTATAAGAAGAAGGTGAAACCTATTCCTGAGTTCTGTTGGCTATTCATCGTCCAATTAAACCTCTCACTCCAAGTGTCTTTCAGGTCTCACCGCAGTGCCCTTTTTGTGATAAACGGTTTCGCAATGAATACTCCCTGAAGAAGCATTTTATCAAAAAACATGCTGAAATGGTCGAATTTAAACAATGTACTAGGTGTTTCAAATGCGTGAAGGATGAAGAGGAAATGGAATCTCATCTTTGTGAATTAGTGAGTTTTTATTGAAAGATAGAAAAATGCCCAAAATGCCTTGGATCGACCGAATTTTCTATTGCGCTTGTATATCTAAAGCCACATTTAAACTTAGAAGAACTGTGGTTTGGTATGAATTCTAGCACTTCATTTTAGCCTTTTTAGCAATTCAGCACAGCAAAAGCGAAGTTACCACTTAGAATTCTAAGTTATCATGCCCTCTACTCTTCTTTGCTAGTTTTTTTCGTATGCCATTTTGAATCATTTTAGTTGATTCCATTATATGGATGTTATGGATTTAATTGAGTTTTCAATTATTTTTTTATTGCAGACTTTCATTTGCTTTGAGTGCACGCCAATTCGTAATTTATGCAGTGATGTGCGGTTGTTGAATCACCGAAAGAAGTTCCATCGAGGTGAGGATGTTTGAAGGTTCAAATACTGCTTTTTTCAAGTAATGCTTTTTTGAAGGACTTTTTATGAAACGATTGAATTTAATGGTCATTTTTTCACAACTGCATTAACAGCTCAGGCTTAGTATGATGACAAACCAAAGACCCAGTTATGAATTGATTGGATTTAGGAGCGAATTCTGGTTTCAAATGTAACCTTTGCAATCTGAAGTTCCTAACGCCGAGGAAGCTCCGCAAACATAAGAAGATGTCACATGTATTCACAAAGACATACCAGTGTCATTTTTGTGAGGAGATATTCATTAGCGAAGTAGCGGTAAGTCCTATTATATTACTTTCAGCGAGGTATTCACCGTTTTTTGTCTTCGAATATCGAAGATTTGACCTTTCTATCCAGGTGATGACGCACGAACGGATTCATACGGGAATTATAAAGTTCGAGTGTCGGATCTGTGATTTCAAAGCCAATCGTTTCATTCAAATGGAGGAACATCGTAAAAACGAACACGGTTATATTTGTGCGATTTGTCAAGAACGGATGGCTGAATGGAGCGATATGAAGCATCATACTCTGCTTAAGCACGGTGGCTATTTGACCACTGAACAGAACGCTGGTGAGCATTACCTATCCGTTATTATTCATGACTCTCTCTCAATACCATCATCTCCGTATTAGTAGATAGAGGGTAATTTCAAGAAGTTCATTTATCATCAAAATGTTTGAAAGGTAACTGTCTTTCATTCTTTACAAGACCTTCTGTTGGCTTTCTATGATGTCAACTTCCTTGACAAAGTTCAGTGAAATCAAACTTCAGCCTAAAACGAACACCTATGAAAAGATGCATCTTTTTGCTTCGTATGACTGCCGTAATTCAGCTCAATGATCCATTGTTAATTACCGCTTTTTAATGTTGACGTTGATGAATGTTCGGCATCAGAAACCAGCTGAGTTTTCTATGTGATGGCCAGCTTTCAAGAGAGATGAAAAGAAGCAAGAAAAATACCTTCACGTGTGGTAGTTGGTTAAGCATACGAAAGTGTGCTTCTAGACTAATCATTACTACAGTAACTGTTTCTTTGCCAAGTGGTTGCTGCGATGACTAGTTTGAAGTGTTTTTAGTAACTCATTCAGTTTAAATGACGAAAGTCTGAAGGAGTTGTCAATATTCACGAAAATGCTCTTAAAGCGTGGGATACCAAGATAATCACCCATGGGTTGAGATAATATAAAGTAGTGATATCTGGTGTTAAGCTGTGGAATTTTGGTTCAACTTAGAATTACTGCTCTAACAACTCGTGGTGTAAGGTGGGGGGAGAGTTAGAAGTTCACGTGCTTGCAGACTCTTTATCGGTTGTTTCAGCTGGATTGCATGAATGTGATCTTGATTATGAGTTCTAACCTTTTTTCATGCAGCCGTATAATCAGATAAAGGGGAACGGAACAGGCATGCTGCTACAAATTGTTTTCGTTTGATCGACGTTCTCGTCTTCTAGAATTGCTATACGATTTGTGGAGTTCGGCAGAGTTCAGTGACCACCTGAATGGTAACATGGGGAACATGACGGGTGGTCCTAAAGCTCAGCTGGAGTTAGTTCCAGCTGGGCTACGCCCTTATGTCAATACTTGACATATGCCTTTGGATTGGCTTCAACAGTCATTTTCGCTCTTGTTCTCAGGTTTTTGAGGGTTTCCCAGTAATAAGAACTGGGTGATCCAGGGTGAACGCTATAATGTTGGGGCACAGATGTTTGACATCTTCGAGGTTTCCAAGATGCGTCCAATAGTTCGACTTCTGTTCATGGACGAAGTGACGTATAGAAACGATTTGGGCGTGGCCCATGTAGAAATTGGTTTTCTTATCCTACCCGAGACTCTGACACCAGTCGTACGATCCCAAAGAACTGGGCTTGTGATTAGCCATTGCTCTGGAATCCGGATCTAGAATAGTGGGAGCGCTCATGATTGCAAGTTGTAGAGCCCTAAAATTTCTGGTGCTGGAGGTGTAGGATAGGTCACACTTTTACTTACCTTGTTCACGTCATCCGTTAGTAGTGGCACGGATTCTGTATGTATTCTAATGGTATGCTAATTCAATCCCTTTTTTGGATGGATTTTAGTGTCTATTATTCAGGTAGGTTAATGCTACAAGATCTGAGTTACATTTTCTACATGACGTGTTCCTTACCTCATTCAAGATTATTTTGAGAAAGCCTTTTCGTCTGAATGCTTCAGACATTTTGTGCCCTTATTTTATTGCCGTCCCTGCATTAAGTGTAGCTGCTCTGCGTCTTTCTACTGTGTCTTGTTTATCCCATGTTCATGTTCAAAGCTGCGAAGGTTGTTAAGTAGGACATTGAGAGGTCTTTGAAAAAAAACGGAAAGGGAGAATGATTTTTACGATTCATAAACTTCTTCTATGTTGTTTGGATGTTATGTATGAACTCTGTTCAGTCACACATGCCACTGGTGCCTGTTATTCTATGTTTTCAGGATACATCGAAAGTCCTCGTGTATGGGTCCTATTCAAAGGCGAATGACGTTTTTTTTTTGCCGATGCTCTTCTTCTCTTCATTCGCATCTCTCCTGCATACTGCACAGAGCTCAGCTTTATTATTTTGTGGTACAGGCTTTGTTATGGTTTACCACACATGAATGTGTACTTTTTGCTATGTTGTTGTCATTATTTGGCCCTCATCGAGGTTGTTACATGTTGTTTCACGGTTGTATATGCTAGTTAAAGATTTGTCATACATTGAATTGGGGTTCACCTCAATGAAACTTGTTATTGATTACATATATTGAGTGTAATAGATAAAAAGATTACTCACTTGTGCAGGTGATATCGTATCATATGCGTGTTAATATGAGTAACTGCGCAAAAACCAGTAGAGAAAAAGTGCTCCACGGTGAATGATGTCACTCAGCCGCGACGCAGGCTACTTGCGTCACAGTGGGCGTGTCTTTGATCGCACGCTCTATACGTCCGCTCGACACACGAGCAGCACCGAGAGGGATCCTCCTTGTGAAGAGGAGGACCTCGACGGTCTTCTGTACTTCGGATATGGATGGAAATCCAAATCGGCGACTCGAAAAGGTATGCCCAATGGCTTTACGTGGCTTTTTTGCTCTGTAATCGGCAATGAATCTGTGCTTGGGCTTGTCTGTAGACTTCCATAGTAGGTCTTAAGGTTCTTTTTTTTATAAAGGCGCTTAATGATAACTAACAGTTAGATGCAGTATAGTTTCTCCGGTAAGTATTACTTCGGTGACCTCTTTTGCGATCGTGTGGCGGGTATTTATTCTGCGACAGATCGTGTTATTGTCGTGACTCCTCGATTTGCACTTTTCTAAGAGTTGTCCGTACCTCATAAAAAGAGTAAAACTGGACGGACATGTATCTCTGCAATGAATTACTCGAGTTTTTCTTCTTGCCTATTTCCATGTGTTGTAGGTCGGTTTGTATCAAGTAGGACGAGCGATTGGTCGTGGAAACTTTGCCACCGTCCGATTAGCTAGACATGAGATCGCAAAAACGAAGGTTACTTCTTACTCGTATTTGTATTATTCCTTGAACTGTTTAGAATTTCTATAGAAATCATATGAAAGGGGTAATACAGGTTGCATTGAAAATAGTGGATAGGACAGCGCTTGATGAAGAAAATTTGATACGATTGGAACGTGAAATGCAAATATTAACACGTGTAAATCATCCTCACATAGTGAAACTATATGAGGTGAGTTGGTTGTTATTGTTGTTGTTGTTGCTTTTATAATTTGCTGATTTGCCTTTATCAAATGAACTTTTCATTACGTTTCAGATAATGAGGACCGAATCGTTTATTTATATAGTAACTCAATATTGTAGTGGTGGTGAATTATTTGGTAGGTGTAATATAGAAGAATACATTTATATATTCTGTCTGATTAATGCCCTTCTTACAGAGATTCTAATAGAACGTGGTAGGACGGCTGAGGATGAAGCGCGGCGATGGTTCGGGCAAATCGCGTCCGCTGTTGCATATCTGCATCATAAGGGTTCGTTTTTCGTATGGATGACGTCAGCAAGCTTCTTTGTAGAGATAACACTTGTGTTCAAAAAGAGGTCCATTGCCGATTTTCTCGACTAGATGCCCGCGCTGGCCTATGACTGCTGCTGCTGAAATCTGCTCTGTTAGATCTAGTTTAAACTGTAAAATAGTCAAAAGGGACCAGCAAAGTCGGTCTTATTATAATTGAAGGGCTACGGCATATATTTTTGGTTTGAAATCAGCTTAACTGTTCTCGAGAAAAGTCTGTAAAGAAATCTGATGGCACACACCCTTTATACCCTGGCCTTCTAATATTTTCCTTGACTTGAACTCTAACTTTGATATCTGTCTCAACGAATAGACGGATCGGAGTAGTAACTACAGCTTAGCAAACTTCCCTTTGTGTTGCAAGATGATTTTCGGTTCTTTAACAAGTTTGTTGAAGCATTTTTTCTAGGCATAGTACACCGTGATTTGAAAGCTGAGAACATCCTATTGGATAAGAATAGCAATATCAAAATCATTGGTGAGTTTGTTATGTGTTTTTGGGCTGGCTCTTATTTATTCGTCAATTTTTTTTGTGCAGATTTTGGTTTTTCCAATACCCAAGCACCGTCGCAGTTATTACGGACGTGGTGTGGCTCTCCCCCTTATGCTGCTCCAGAACTTTTATTAGGTTTGTCTTTTCTTCGTTTTCGTTATGCTTACTACTGTTCTATATTAGATATTCATGCTCGCCGGAATTAACCTTCTTCAATAAAGTATCTTTCATCTTTAAGGTAAAGAATACGATGGTTTAAAAGCCGACATTTGGTCCCTTGGTGTCATTTTGTACATTCTCGTCACGGGTGGCTTCCCGTTTCCTGGCGACAACGTCGAAAATCTGAAACGGGCGGTGTTGTCATGTCAAATGAAGATCCCGTACTGGGTGTCTGTCGGTTTGTGTTTATTTCCCATAAATGATCATGATTGTTTACTGTGTAATGTACTTTGTGCTTTGAATCGACCACTGTGTCGTTCTTTGATGTGTACACATCTACATACGGTTGCTATGAGTGCACGAATTCAATCAATCGATGTTGTTTACTTTCTTCTTTTTCTAGTCAAGCCGTAGTAGTACGCTTTGCCAATGTTTTTATGAAATATGTTTCAGAATGTGCCGATTTGATTAAGAAAATGTTAGTGTTCAATCCGTTCAAACGATGTGGTATCAACGCTGTCATGCAGCATCGGTCAGTCGTCGTTTATCACATCTAAACAATAGCATCAGATTACAGTTCCACCTCTATGATAGCGTTGGAATGATGCGTGCTGAAGCATGATGCGACAAGGTTGGATGCGATCATGACTGTCTCATTCCATGAGGGCTTAACCATAACTTTAAACTAAAACCCCTCAAAACTGCACATGTCGATGCATCTTGTTTCATTGCCGCCCATGAGTTGTTCGAAGCACTAGGAATCTGTTGGGAGTGTTGCTTGGCCTTAAAAATGTAATGAAATGGAGTACCATCGGAATTATTGGCAATATAGCGCGAAGCATAGTTTCATATGATGATAGTCATGATTCAGTACTCAACAATGCGAAAGCACTATAGCAACCCCTATCGACTCATGCACTTCAGAACTCATTTGACTGGTGAATGATTCATTTCATGATTTTTTTTTGTGCTTCAGGTGGCTGATAAACTGTCAATCAGCGCAGACTCACTTAATGGTCAAGAATAGTATGCTGGCATCGGCTGCATCAATGCCCGAACGTCGATCGTTAAAGTTGAATCCAACGATTTTGTTATTTATGCAGCAGTATGGGCGATGGACGGAGGAACAAATAGTTGATGTAATATCGGAATATTTTTTACTCGTTTCCGAAAGAAAGCCTTCTGCTTTCAGGAGGTTCTGAAGCAGAACTTCGAAAGCTCAATTTTCGCTACTTATGAGTTACTATGCGATAAAGTCGGAAAGAATTCGTTGGAAGGTTAGCATACTCATTTGGTGCAGAAATAGGTCTTCTTTTCTTTATGTAATTTCAAATATATCAAATATAATATTGATAATATCGGAGGAAATATTACTCGGAAAAGTGAGGGAGTAACGAACCGAAGAGGGTTACAACGAATTGTCCATAAAATTGAATTTGAGCCTCTCGTGGACTTCGTTTTTTAACATAAAGAATCGAACTGAAATGTCCATTCTGTGTTTGTGCATTTTTTCTAACCACACAACGCTCATCTGGCTAGAAGCCCTGTTACCCAGTATTTCAATAGAAGTCCTTCACCAGTAGTTGTAAGCACATCTATTACATATAAACTAAGGAGCAGATTAAGTTACTTTGGCAAGAAGTAAGAGTAATTGGTTTAAGTTAGCCAATGACGTTTTAATATCAAATTATTTGTAATCAGATTTTTGTTTTCAGGAACTAGTGATGATCATCCCAGACGTGGATCCCGTGGATCAATTCTCAGTGGAAAAGCTAATGTGGAACCAGAATCTGTTACTCCTACGATCTCCGCCCATCACCTCGCTCAGTTGAACTTATCAACAAGTTTTGAATGTGTTAGTTTGATGTCCTGCCTTTGATACTTATACGTTTTTAGATAGTGTTTTCTGTTTTTAAATGGTGTCATAAAACGTTTTTGCCTCAGGACTCTGACGATTCATCCACTTCCGACATTTGTGAAGATTCGCCATCGAGTTCTAGTCGAAATCGAGCTCATGGACGATGCCAGTTCGGTGTCGCAATGAAACAAGAAGAAGGCAATCGTAACGAGCATAGGTTAGGTTTTGTTAATTACCAGCAATTGAGAAATTGAATACCAGAACAGATCTTCCGTCTTATATTATCTGAAGTAACAAATTAAGGAGGCATACGTTATGTGCAAGTGAACAAATTTTGTCACCAGACATGATGGCGCAACTTCCTATCGGTTCGCCACTTCATCAGGTCCTTGCCTTTTACTTTGCTTACTTGTATGATTTGATTGTTCTTTTGCTCATTTGTGCTAGATTTAACTGTCTTTCATTATATTGGATTTTCTCCTTTTCCAATTTCAAGCTTGCTTTCAGGCAGCGCTCAACCACTCGGCGTTAACCGATATGGCTGTCAGTCCGGGTGGAACAAACCTCGTGACCTCGCCTCAACTGCCTTTGTTTCCAGGCCTGCCACTTTTGCCGATTCTAGACTATACACGAATGCTGCCTGTTCCAAATAGTTAGTTACTTTTTTATTTACCACGTTTATTATTGATTTATCTGGCAAATTTTGATCTACTTTTCACCATCTCGTTAGTCTACCTGATTTCGCTTTGGCAGGTGAACGACGCGCCTCTGCTGGAGAAAATCTACTGAATCCGGGTGCTATGGATAACTTGAATCACAGTGTCCAATCTACTCCAACGGGTAATGTCTCTGCGAGTGTTGAGGAAGAAGGAGAAGGGTATGCTATTATACAATATTTTCAAGAAATTTATATGATTTTGAGTGTAGGGCGCTACTTATATTTCACTTATTATCTTAGCTATCTAAGTAAGTATGCCGGAAAAAGAAATACCGTGCATGGTGCATCATCCCCCTTCGGGCCTTCGTCTCCAGTACCACGACATAGTCCGTACACGAAAGCGTCATCCACGGAAAGGTTGTTAAACTTTTCCGTCATTTTTAATATTCCATAATCCAATTGACCTTTTTCAGGCGCAGTAGTTGGGCTTCACCTGCAATCACAGCCCAACAGCACCAGCAATTAGAACGGCTGTACCGACAAGCGATATCCAGCTCAGGTTGGTCAGACTATCAATTTGTCAATATACATATTTGTCGGCACTGCTGCTCTATTACGGGAGGTTTTCTATGTTGTCTTTTAAATCAATTTTTGAAATGTTAATTTCAATACGCTCTTCTTTTATAACAACAATAGCAATAAGTGCCATCTCTGAGTAGTATTTAAAATTCAATCGTGTCTTTATTTCGTTATTCATTGGAAAATTGTCCGTGCGATAATGAACCGAGGTGGCTGTGGCTGTAGCGGATTTATTGAGAATGAAAATGGCGTACGTTATTTGAAGAATTTTCGTTCTTGAACCACCAATGTTTAGTCACGCGAAGCGGCTGATTCTGACTTTTGATTATAGTTTAACTTGAGGGAAGCTTTATCTTAGTCACACATAAGGAGTGTGTGTCTGAGAATGATTTTTTCACATTAAGTTATGCAAACTCTTTCAATTCATTTAGCTTTTGTAAACGGCGTACCATCAAGGCCCTTCCATGATTGAGCGTTGACGTTGATTTTTTTTATAGAGAAAGAGTCTTCAAAATAACATACAGGGGAGGTGTGAGCACACATCTGCAAGTAATTTCAAGTTTACGAGAACCAAGTAGATTTGGCGAATGCACGAGACTACGGTGTCTCACAATTCTCTGAAATGGATCAACCCTCGGTAGTAAATTGGTCTGTCAAATTCTTGAGCTGGGCAACCTTAAATGTTTGATTTTTATTACTTTCCGTTTTGATTCTTGTTTGGAGCAGTTGCGTAGTGTGTGCTTTTCTCTATCCTTCGACCCAGTCGTAGTGAAAGTTTTATTCTTCCGATCGCACGGCATATTCTTATAACCTTTCCAATTTAATGGGCTTTCGCAGCTTTTACATTTGCATGAAGAGATGAAAAGGTTGGATTCAGGTTCTGAACGGTCTGCTGACATTTCGGAGAATCTTAATTCTCTCATTCACTCCCTTGTTTTTATGGGTGTATTTGAGATTGATTCTTGAAAAGCTCATAGACTTCACAAAGAAAGATAATTCTTCTCCTGACTTCTTTCTTAATCTGCTCTTTTCTGGATCGAGGCTTGAGTCCGAAATGTATTCAAATTTCAGGGCCTTGCAAACGCCAAAACATTTTGCACTTTTATTTTTTTCGACTTGTTCATTTTACACTTTACAATATCTGTTCGAAATGCTTCATAATCTAATACCTTTCTAATACTGGAATGCAAAAAGTTGAAAAATCTTTTTAAATTGTGAAGTAAGTCGCATATTTGATGAAAAATACTCCTGGCTTCTCGTAGATAACTGAAAACCTTCGGGAACTTGCAGCGACTTACTTATCGACTATCATTAACTTTTTTGAAACCCTTTCTTTGATTTCCGATGCACATGTCATCCTGCGGGGCTTCTTTTTTTGCAATTGTATGCATGCCCATATATCAGAAAAAGTAATATCATGTGCTTGTGTATTTTGTAATGACATGATTGGCTTCGATTGTTCAGGTGGTAACGATTTGATGGGAATCCAAGCATTACAAAAAGAGTTTCAACGGCTCGGACAAATTGCTGCACAAGGCTGCAGTCCAACGTATGTTCAACAGTGTTTTTTTTTTCATGGCCATATTTTACTTCTGCGGAATTACTTTGTTATTGAGTAACGGGAATACCGATATAAGTATCTTTCGCGGATGACATTTGCATTGACTTTGCATGGTCATTGCATTAAAGTTGTTTTCAATTCAACAAAATATTCACCGCTCTGGTTAAATCATAGTACTCCAGAGTAAATTCACGTAAACATCGAGCAGGTGTTTGTTGGGACTGTTTTTTGTTACATTAAAAGAGTTGTTTTTAGGGCTAGTAGATCTCCTACGCATTTTTTCGATCATCGAACAGCACCATTTGGTTGTCCTCGTATCTCCATCACTGATGAGCACAATCGAAGTCTCGCCCCAGGTTCCAGTCTATTCGACCCGGTTAATTTATTCGAACAAAAGGTCTGTCTGTATCATGATTCACTCTGGTAGTGATGATATCACACAATACGCTTTGACTTCATTGGAATTCTCCATCATTGACGTTTGTGATGTTTGTTGTTTACAGGTGAACGAGGTGGTTTTTGGTCAACGACCAGCTACAGTCATCGGATTCGCTTCAACGTCAAAGTCAGGGACCTCTTCACCTGAACAAAACATCAAATTAGATGATAAGGAAAGTATGGAAGACAGAGTGAAGGTGTGTCAAAATGTTACTCGTCACGTTTATCGATATTGGACATGTAACCACTGGGCACCTGTAACCTGAAAAAGAATATGTCGAAACACCCGGTCTTTTGCTTCCATCATCATTGCTAATGAATTTCCTCCTCATTCAACGTTCACTAGTTCCTTCAATGTTTTCTGCTGCTTCAAAAGTTGCCCCACTTTGCTTTGGTTGGAATGGAAATCAACTCCGGAAAACTACAACTAACTTGTTACCCGAAACATTGGCTTGAGTTGCAGCGTAGAGGGTTTCGGGTTTAACTTAATATAAGGGTGCTCATTTTGGAGTTCCTCGCATTTTTCAGAGCCCATCTATATGTACTGGTCAATTCTTTCGCATCAAAAAAGCCTCTTAAAATTTACTCGAAAAAGTTAAACGACTTGGAATGAATGGCACAGGCCTACTCGTGAATTCCAATGCTGTTTCGTTGCTTGCCGAATTGCCATATAACTAACGCTGGTTACTAGTTGCATGGAAGGGGAAACTAGATAATAAATGGAATAGTTAATTAGCTCGGTTTTCAAAATTTGCTGTAAATTAGCAATTTTTCCCAGTTCTGTCTATATTACTAGTTGATGTGAGTTCAGGTGAACTTTCCCTATATTGTCAAATATAGAGAAAATGCATCTGTTAGATCTGAACTTACTTGCTCATTTTTATGTACCAGGTATTGGAGAGTGTTGTTACTCCCAATTTTTCTGAATCTTGCAAACTTTCGGTGGCTCTACTCGTTGCAAAGCGATCATATTCTTGCTGCCTTCAAAGTTCCATATGTTCAAACACGAGCTGCGGTGGAGTGGCAGAACAGCTGCAATATTCTCCTATACATTTTTTTTCTTTGCAGAGTTTCGTCTCCACTCTTCCCCTTGTCGATGTAGTGCAAGAATTAAAAAATTGTTTGAACGAAATGCAAATCCGTTTTGAGGAGACGAACGAAGTTGTATATATGGATCAGGGTAAGTGTTTTTGCCTGTGTTCTGTGTCTTTTTTCTTTGATTCACTTGAACTGAATATAATGGTGGTCCCCCCTTAGAAATGCGTCGTTTATCACTTTCAACCGGCGTCGAAATTGGTTGTGCTACGTTGCCACCAGAACAAAAATCGCATGTTGAATTTGCGATAGTTGCCGGAGATTCGCCGACGAGTGAATTACTTTGTGACGAATTAATCTCAAGGCTGAGAACTTTAGACCCAACTGCATCATCCGAATAAGACCAATTATGCCTCGTGTCATACAAACACATGTCACTGTATTGATTGTTGTGGTTATGTTCTCAACATATTGACCATTTGGGTGGAAGTAAGCTCGGTTAAATGCTAAATAGTAATTTTGCCTCATTGGTGATCCTTAGTGATCCCCTTTGTGAAAGTATTGGAGCCCTAGTCGAGCCTTCCAACCATCGATGTATTTGTGATTTAACTTTCCGTCATAAACGCGCCGCTTGCATGCTGTGCTCCTGGTCGTCATTCTCAGTTTTACTTCATCGCCTTCAAGTTGTGTATATGTCATGCTTATTATTATAATATTATTGTTTCTATTGTCTTTATATTCCGATTTTTTTCGACAATATGTGTGTGTGCGTTCCCCCTTAATAATAGATTTTGAAATTCTCCCGAAATTCCAATTTCAATAGGTAATCTTGTCACTTACAGGGTTCTCAAGCTAAACTGCGAAATTTAATAATAACTGAACAATATGTGATGTACGATACGATTCGTAACTGAAATGTAGCTTGTTCCCCACCTTCTCATCACCCACCCGTACACATACTCTCCCCCTCACCGTTAAATGCGCGGTTTCATTTCTCTCGAGCTGTGATCGTAGTGAGCTTGTGCGATTTTCTTCTTTTTTCGATCATTTTTTTTTTGTTCATAGCTGACGGCTCCGATCTTTACTTAGTCATGAAATATTGTGATATCCATGTGGAAAAGGTTACTGTGAACTTAATTAATCGTATTCCTAATACATTTCTTGCCAGTTGCTCTTGATGCTGAGGCGCATTTTTCTCTTCGCACACTGTTTTACATGCTCGCCCGTGTGGTCACTAGTAAATAATATGAATACATGTACATGATGAGTAATGACTCATATGAAATGAAATAAATATGATACATATGTTCTGAAAGAAACGACAACGGAAAGAATGCGGTGAAACGCCGTTTCTTGTACATTGCATTGTCGTCGAATAGCTAACAACAGCCAACATATGACGCGCGCGGTTGCGTTGCTGCGCGTTCACACACTGCCTTTACTATTGGCTGCTTTCATAGTCCATGACTTGGCCCGTGAGCGGCCGGGGACTGGGACTACTCGTTCGGCGGTATCGACCAAGATTCAGTTGTAAACAGGGGGCAAGCGCCGCCCCGGTCGGTCGGTCGCTCGCGCGCTCGCGGGCTAAATCGCGGAGTATGAAAGCAGCCATTGACACTATCACATTGAGGACTGGACATCTCAGAAAAATGTTCTTTATTTAGAAAAACAACTACATATATGACAAGAATGTGAGAGTTTTAAATTTCGTTCAAAATTTCCCGTGCTTCAGACCACCCACCATCACTCGGGCATTGGGAAGGATTTCAGTTGAAATTGGTCATCTGGTCATCGACTGTGCCTTTCATTTTTACTAAACGTAAGTCGCTAAGAGAACCTCTTTAGTTATGTTTATGGAATCCTTCAACAATAGGCAAACCAGATCTAGATAAGCATAAGGGGATTCATAATTCTAAACGGACCTTTTGACCCACTACCCTTTCATCAGATTGTCTACGTTTTACAAATCGATCAATGAAGTTTCATTGGTTACAAAATTTTCATATTATTGATTTTACATTGTCTATATCACATGAAATGGCGTAATAACGCTACTCTCTGGAGACCTACATTCACAAAAGTCAGTCAACGTTCAAAATATCAATTCAAATGAACAGAAGCCTATGACACAGAGAATTAAATTGATGTGGGGGAATTGACGTGAACTGTACATGCGTATTTGGCCTAAGATAACACTTTTCATAATGCTATCAACTTAACATTGCCATACAGGAAGTACCGGAGTACTTTAGCTTTACCATAACCTACGCGTTTCTCTACGGGTAACGAGCAAATCGGTCGTCCCAGACGACTTACAATTAGCCCCATTAAGACTAGCAAGATAAAGTGTACACATCTACATATAATGCTTATATGTTTTGGCCTTATTAATGACAATTAATCGACGTATATCAAGATCTATAAATATATAAATATATTGCGATGAGGTACACGCGTAGATCCCTACCCGTTATCGGAACGAAAATATGTCCGTAACAAAAATATTCGATGTCCACGTCACTGGAATGCGATTATGATATGAATATGTGAGCTCAAGGAAGCTAACAGCAGCTACCGACGAGCATTAGCACTGAGCTTCTGTCCTAACTTCATCCATTTTACAGCATCCACGATCTTGACGGAAACATGTTGCACCAACACATCCCACCCATGGTCGTCCAATTTCTGTGGCATCGAGGAAGCACGGCTCAACCACTACCTGAAGTCACCAAGCTTAACAGCTTTTCTAGGAGGATTTTCCGGTTCTCAAGAGAAACAATGATTGGAATTCGCATTAAGTCTTAAAAAATAAAAATCGATATCTGAACCTTATGAGGCGCCCCGAGCGCGAGCAATCTATGATTGGCTGTCTCTCTAAACTACCAATCACAGATCCACTGCGCTGTTACCACAACTTCTTTCAAAATAGTTAATTTAGTCACCTTTTGAGCACCAGCTCTCGTCAATACACTCGCTACGTTCTGACGAACTTCAGAGTATCGCGTAGCAGCGTCGTCTGACCATGTTGGTTGTGATTTATCTACCTAATAAAGTAAGTATTTAGGAAAGATGTTGGAGCTCAAAAAACAACTAATGTTTTTCAGTATACATGAAGAATATTCGAGAAAATTCCGCAAAGAAAGCAAAGGTGACTGTGACGAGGGCCATTCACTTACAGGAGAATTTCCAGGTTGGTAGTACTTGGTTTCTTTCGAAAATTCAGGAAAATTGTGATCCCTAGGGTGTGTAACTGATTAACTGGATAATTACTAACATTTCTCGAGTGAAAAACTGCAAGGACAAGGTACTGAAGAGATAAAAACTTTTGTTGGTTCTGAGCTGCTTAAAACTGGAACTCCCAGTGTTTATATTCAAAGAATTTTTTCACAGGGAAGGTTTCCGGGTGTCTTGAAGATACACATTTTTGTGGACGAGGTTTTGGTGGGTCTCGTTATTTATCCATCCACAAATTCTCGGAAGGGCAACTTAGCTTCAATATTTTAATAAATATTAAACTGTACTTTAAATATTAAAAATAATATTCCTGCGTTTCTTAATTGTTATGTTATGTAGCTGTTAAGTTGCAAATGTTGAAATAAAATACGCTGAAAAACGAACCAAAAAATTCAAATGAATTAGTGCTTCGAAAAGATTTCCGGGCCACAATCGATATGCATGTATGTGTGTACATTTGACATCAGGAAACTGTAAGGGAAACCATTAAACTAAATTTTATAAACTGGTAACCTGATAGTACAGTAAATCAAAGAACGAAAAAGATAGAAAAAATCATTATACAGTATGTCTCCTGCCATTTTTGTGCAGTACCACAGAAAAAAAATCTAGTTTTTGTTATGTAACAAGCTACACTGCATTAACTTGAGAGGAATAACGGAAATGGGATATAAGTGCCTACCGTCGCTGAAATTTCATTTTGGAAAGACTCCACATGGAATTTTGCTGGTGTATCAACAAAAATATAGGGCATCATTTCATAAACTGAAACTGAATTCCATTCCGTTGACGTAACAGAAACGAGGGGTGCTGACTCACAGGCTGGAATGATCAGCAGGAAAAATAGTATTGTCATAACTACAGCGACAATTGGATCCACATGCTCCCACAACCATGACTCCCCTATTGATGGTGGTATAGCCATACCAGCGATATACATACCTGAAAAACAAAGTAAGATGAGAACTTGTCAAAAATTATATTGTAATTATATGTTCTAGGCACAATACACTCGGTACCAAACTGTAGCGGGGGGTAGGAGGGGTTAGGAGTAGGGAAGAAATAACGTTGAAGGAGACAGTCCGCTTCTTTATCCAAATAAACAGCTCGAAGAACAAGTACCCATGTGAGCTTTAGGGGTTGGGCTTGCCTGAGGAAGGGGGACACGGGCTACATTTCACTATAGGGCTACTCGTCCAGCTCTATCGACCAAGATTCAGTTGTAAACAAGGGGCAAGCGCCGTCCCCGGACGCTCGCTCGCGGACCGAATCGCGAGCTATGAAAGCGACCATTTGGATAAACGCACTTTAAATCTTTAACGTATACGTCGCATCGAGCAACCACCCTAGGTAAGCACACTGTGTTGCATCGAGACGATGAATTCGGGTGAGGACCCACAGCTGGATCACTGGAAATGGTCTGCAATAAGGGCGGTAGGAGGATGAGGGGAGGGGGTTTAATGGTTACTGGCCATTACCATGAAGTTTTTCTTATTCCACTCTCCCTCTACTTCAGCACTACATAGCTCAATAAGCATAAAGAATTGGCTAATAAATAGTGATAGGTAGCTTATATGCCGGTTTCTTCCACTAAATAAGGGTGCAGTATCGATCTACCAAATTTCCAACTTAACTTGAAAATTCTACATATTTAAAACAAAGAGAACTTACCGATAACTACAACGGGGCTAAGAGTATGTAGCGCTAGTCGTGGAATAGGACGCAGGCCCATGGAAGGAATGTGACCTAGAGCCAACACGAGGCATTTCAATGCAACGTCGAAAACACTGACGATAACATACTGTTCTGAAATTTGTTAGTAAGAAAATAGTTAAAGGGAGACTATTTTATTGATTATCACAATGTATTTATTTGTAAAAACTATGGTAGCAGTCCGACCCAAAACAGGTAAATCCACTGTCCCATTCCCTTACCCCGAGGTCTTTTTTTATGCGTCGTATAGGTGGCAGGTGGTACTGGACGTCGTTTATGTGACACGTCTCCTCTACGTCAGTACGCAATTGCGGACTGCTAACGTGAGTGGGCGAAAATTCTTACCTGTGTGTATTACCAGTTAAATGTTCAGGTAAACTTCCCTATCATTTACGCCCCTAATTAGAAGACTGTCATCTCGACTCTTTGGGAAGGAGATTACGAAATTTCCCCCTATCGCCTGAAGAAACAAATATTTTGATAAG